TCCATGTACCATCTGTTAACAGTATATCTCTCTATCCACCTATCAAACACAAAAAAAACACTCAGGCATATATAATAATTTACATCTCCAAAGGGCACATTCTGCAAGTCTGCCTCCTGGCCACCAGCCCTTAGTCCCTCTCTTCTTAGTCCATGAATCTAGAGTCCTCAGCCACTCCCCCTCTCCATTGCCCCCATCTCTGGATAAGGTCCCTCATTCTGCTTGTGCGTTTCTCCCTTGATGGTCCTAGAGTCCTCTGTTTCTGGACTGTAAGATTTACTACTCCCTTTTTTTTGTTACAAAACTTCTACCTTTACAATTGTGACAGTCGCAATTAATCATGATAACAATTACTGTTGAATCTTACGAATCTTATCCCCATCTCTTTTCACCAGACCCATCTAGACAAGATGACAGCTATTCAGTGGTGACTCTTTTCTTTCCTCCTATACTCTTAAACTAAACTCCTTCTTGAAACCTTGTAAGCCAGTCACTTCATGCCTTTATTGCCCCCTCATTTTAGGTAGCCAATGTCTAAGTTGCCCATCCCTGTCTACCCTGTGTACAGAGTGGATAGCATTGATACTTGATTTGAAGACTCTTTCCCTCTCCGTTGGTATTTAGAGTAACTACCACACTGAGTATAGGTCAGGTTCATCATGAAAATGTATCTACTGTCACTGTAGCTCTTCCATTCTGCTTGTCCTTTGTAGTGGGACTGTCTCACCTCATAAGGTTCTGCATGGAACTCAGGATTCCACCTAAGGTCTTATACTCTGTAAAGGCTTTGCATGAGGCTTATTTCACTGGGCAAGTTGTAGAACCCCTTTTAGGTATTCCAATCAGTTATAGGCTGAAGGCGGGCTTACAATTTCTCTAATCATGTTTCTCAACATTTATTTCTATCCCACCCAAGTGTCTATATTACAATAGTAGGCAAGGGAAACTAAATTCATAAGGCAGTCAAGGATTTTAGTATTATTTACCCTCTTGAAGCTATACCTAGATCCCTGTATCCCAGAGCCCTGTTGTTCCAAGGTTGAGTATGCATCACTATTTATCTCTGTCCCACTAGGCCATGCAAACCTGTCTCAGTGTTCCCCTATCTATCTTGTTCTTCCGCCTCTTTCCCATTCTTTTATTGCCTTCCGCAACACCCAAAGTAAACCTCCCACCCCAACCCCATTGTGGTTACCTTATATTCATTAGTTCTTCCCTCCATTTAAGACAGTCTATTTTATCCAGTAATCTACCTGACCTTCTCACCACCTGGATCTCTCTGTTTCTCTCTGTTTACCTTCTTTCACATTGTAATTGTTTTGATCATAGGCTGACCTTCCATATCCTCTGTTCTTATAATTTTATTCTGTTCTTGACTCTTCCATTTGTTGAGTGAGTTCAGGTTGATGCTGCCATGTACGTCATTCTGTAGTTATTGTGTGTTCTTGTTTGTTCTCAGTCCACAGAACTTCCTTTAGGATGTTTTTCATAGCAGGGTTGGCTTTGGCAAAATCCCTTAGCTTCAGTTTATCCTGGAATGTTTTGATTACACCATCGTATTTGATTGACAGCTCTGCTGGGTAGAGGATTCTTGGGTGGCAGTTTTTGTCTTTCAGGGTTTTATATATGTTTCCCCATTGCCTTCTTGACTGCATGATTTTTGTTGAGAAATCTGAGCTTAATCTGATATGCTTGCCTTTCTTTGTATGTTATATTTCTCTTTTCCCTATTTGCTTTCAAGATGCTATCCTTACCTTTGATTTTGGAGAGCTTGATTATTATATGTCTTGATGATTGTCTTTAGAGTCTAATCATCCTGGGGCTTGTTGAGCTTCTTGAATGCTTATCTTTTCACTTTTCAGGATTTTAGGAAATTTTTCTTCCAGAAGCTCTTCAACTATCTCCTCTCTGGACTTGTGTGATTCTTCCTATTCAGGAATGCCAATATCTTATGTTATTCCTTTTCATGTTATTCATCATGAATTTTAGGCCTTCAGAGTTTTTTAATCCTTTTTTGTGTTCTTCTATCTTAGTAGTGTTGAGAGATTTATCTTCTAGCTCACTAGTTCTGGTTTCTATCTCTTCAGTTCTACTTCTTTGCCCTTTCAGTGTGTTGTCCATTTCTGATATTCTATTATTAATCGTTTGGACCTCTTTCTGTAGGTTTTGAATTGTTTGCAGTGCTGTATCTATCTTATTTGATTGTTCCTATAGCACTTTCCTGACTTCTTCCTTATTATTCTCAGCTCCATTGTATAGTGTTTTGATAAATTTTATAATCATTTTTCTGAATTCCTTCTCAGGCATCTCCAAAGCCTGCCCATCTTCCAGTATGGAGTGTAGGTCTACTTCCAGCTCATTTGCCTCAGTCACTTTGATCTCTTTTCTGGACATTTGCAGATGTGGTACTTATGCTTCTGTTTTTTGGACATCTTCAGGGGTTATCTGTGGCCTTAATACTTAGATGGGTATGTATTTTGGTATTTTTTATGCTTTCTGATTGCCTCCAGGTAGATGTGATCAGTAAACGGGCTTCCTTTTTCACTCTTTTTCTTGGGAAATTTCAAGATGCCACTATTGGTCTTTTTGACGTGATTTAGGATTTAATTTTCATCCTATTTTCTTTTTCTTGTGCTTGTCTCGCTCTACAATCCCCGTTCAGGTCTTTCTCCTAGTGATAACCAGTGCAGGGCCAGCTTGGCCGTTTGGTTTTAAGTGGAAACTGTCTCTTTCATTTTCGAGGATATCTGTGCACATGCGTAGTAGAACCCTCTGAGGGTGGGGCTGGGGTGCCCACTATCTCAGACACTCCTATAGTTACCAGAATGGAGGTGCTCAGACAGCAAGGGACCAATGAACAGATAATCAAAAGAAGAGAATGTCCATAGTTTTGTCTCCACGGTTCTGCCAGGTGTCTGTGGCCGCTCTGATCCTTCCCCTACTTGGTCTCACCCAAGATGGCGGCTCTTGGAACAGTTGAGCATCCCAAACTAGCAATGGATTTCTTGCTTCTGCCACAAATTCCCCCAGCTGTAAGCCTTCCAACCTTCTAAATATTCCTTTATATGAGGTTCAGAGTTCTGGGACCAGCCCTTGAGCCTGCTTGATCCGGTATTCTGTGTTGTTGCTGGCCGAGCTCCTCACTGCACTTCCCCCGATCCGCCATCTTTTTTGTTCTCTGCATGATCTTTTATGCTGTAAGTTTTCTTCTTCTCACTGTAGAAGAAACAACTGTAGTTGTTGCCACAAATTTTTTATTTCATGTGTTTACAGTTCAATATTGCTTCTTAGGCTCAATGGATTGCTTAAGGTGTCTGCTGTTCAAATTTTTTTTTTCCAGTTATTTTTCTGCTGCTGATTTCTAACTTCTCAGTTAGCTGTTGTGATCAGAAAACATCACTGTATGGTTTCAGTCCTCTTAGATGATTGGGCTTGATTTGTGGCACTGCATGTCTTCTTGGTGACCATTCCACCAGCACTGCAGAGTGGTGTTTACCTGGTCAAATGGGGTGCTCTGTGAGTGCCTGTGGAGTCAGGAGAGTGGATATATTTGGTTAGGCCCCCATATCCTATTGATTTCTTTCTATTTGTTGTAATTGCTGAGAGAATAATGTGGAAATCTTCAACTATTGTTGGAATTGCCTGCTTCTCTGTTTTGTCAGTCTGACTTCATGTGTTTTGAAATGCTAATAATAGGTGAACATACATCACTTAGGGTTGTGATGTCTTCTTGATGAGTTGAAGTCTTTATTATTATGAAAGGTTTCTAGCCTAGATTCTGTCCTTTGTTTTTGAAATCTGCTCTGTCTGTTATTAATATAGCCACTTAGGCTGTTTTGTATGTTAGAATTTCATAAACCCTAGAGAAACCATGAAAGGAAAAATAATACCTTAGTATTGACTCTTTGAGATTATGTACATATTCTGGCTTTCATTAAACCTTGATTGATTTATTAATAGCATTGATTAGAGATTTTTATTCTTCTTGAATCTGTTGATTCCTTTACAAAACTTTTCCTGTAAATTTTATCCAGCAATTTCCAATTATATCTGCTTAACGAACCTAAGTGAAAACTTGGCAAGATAGTATTTTTAGCTGGACATGTTGCTGCCTCAGATCAAAAGCAAGATTTTTGTAGTTAGGAAATACAGGGACAGAGGGTTTGTAGGGATACCCACTTGAGAAGTGACTGAATATAATAAGAATCCAGGGCGTGTTTCTCTCTGTTCAGTAGAGCTGCTCCTCTCTTGGGGAGTCTTACTGTATGTGGAAGATGGCCTTGTCAGGGACCTTCTGCTTCCTAGATTCTTCGCTGATGTGAAGGACTAGTCCTCTATGGGTCATTATTGCAAAAATTATAGGACACTCTAGAACCCTCAAGAAAATGTTCCTTAAAGCCATATTCTGTATCATAATCACCAAAACTCCACTGTGGGGGCGAGAGGGAAGTGGTGGTGTCACATTTGCATGACAGAGTGTGTGGTTTAGGAAGCACTTTATTACGATTTCTTAGTATATCTTTTTTGTTTTGTTTTTATTTTGGATTGAGTGAAAGTTTACAGGGCACATCATCAGCTTCACATTCAACCATTCATATAGCTTGTTTCATTACATTGATTATTAT